ATAACACAAACTTTTCATTTGAAAAGGTGAATAAATATTAAAACCCCAATAATTCAAGCTCCACCACAATCCGAGTAAGCAGTTTTGTTTGTATTCTTTTATAGATTATAAAAATCAAATTTAAAGTTGATTGGTGGAAAACTGAAGATTTTTCAAACAAACTTTGGAGCTCGTTTTCCCCCCTTTGGAGCTTGAATTTTTCAAAATTCAATTCTTAGTGATCGATTTTACCTCTCTCGGTATTCGAACTCACGTAAAGGGTTTATAATTGCACATTTACATAGCAATTGCGTCTGTCTGAGTGTATGTATACCTATGCGCATCTATTCGTGTCTGTGTAAACATGTGTGCAGTCAACCAAAGCACCAGCATCAACAACAGCCGCGGGCAGCGCTTGAGCAGCAAATATATTATGGCAATTGCTATGTAAATGTGCAATTATAAACCCTTTACGAGAGTTCGAATACCAAGAGTGGTAAAATCGATCAAAATTTTTTTTTTTATTTTCTTAATTTTTTTTATTTTCTATAATTATTTTAAACATATGTACAGAGTATTTCAAAGTCGGGACACCCGACTTTAGCTTTTTTTACTTGTTTATATATATATAGAGATGTCCGTCTGTCCGTCCGTCCGCTTGTTTGTATGAGCGCAACAATCTGAGCAAGTACAATAGCTAGGATAACCAAACTTGGCATTCAGGTTCCCCTAAGCCCCAGGCATATACATCCAGTTCGTGGTTATTTGTCCGTATGCCAAGTGTCATCATAATAGGTCAGCTCTGAAGAAAGTTATAGCTATAAATAAATTGCTGCTTATGCGCTGCCTGCAGCTCTGCCGGCAGCGCTGCTTTGGTTCAACTTTGTGCTGCATATATACACGCATAGGCACGTGATGTAAATGTATACTGTTAAAACTGAACATAAACATGTCTTCTAATTTAATTAATTAATTAATTCAATTTTTTTAAATCATTTAATTTTTTTTTTAATTTTCCTTTTTTGTGGAGAGTACAGGCTATTTTACTGTCGGGCTTGCTCGACTATAGCGTTCTCTCTTTCATCATGATACGTCAATTCTGAAGAAAGTTATAGCCATAAGTAAAATCGCTGCTCATGCGCTGCCTGCAGCTCTGTCGGCAGCGCTGCCCGCAGCTGTTGTTGTTGTTGCTGCTTTGGTTCAACTTTGTGCTGCATACATACACGCATATAAACACGCACAGGTACGTGACGTATGATGTATGCTGTTAAAACTGAACATAAACATGTATTCTAATTTAATTTAATTAATTCATTCATTCATTTTTTTAATAATTTAATTTTTTTTAATTTTTTTTTTTTTTTTAATTTTCCTTTTTTGTGGAGAGTACAGGCTATTTTACTGTCGGGCTTGCTTGACTGTAGCGTTCTATCTTGTTATATTATGATATTCAGCATGAATTTATTTCTTAAAAAAGGAACTCAAATATCTTAAAGTAAACAAATTAATATAAATTAAAATACCATCACTATTTGTAATTTAAATAAAAAGGAAGGTATTTCTTTTCGCTAATAGTTTTGTTGGAATCTTATATTATATGCATATATGCTTGTATATGAGGTTACTATTGAACTAATAGCCGAAAAAACCATAGAAAATGCAAGTGACCGTGCACGCGCCGATATCATTGGTCATTTCGGTCATGCGGGCATGATTGTAAATACGACGTTTGATCACTTCTTGCACGCAGGCAAAAAGTTTCGGTCACAACCGCTCATTCTGAGTCCGCAGTTTCGTTCGTTCACAAGCGGTCATTGCTTGCATTCGAGTTGATGAGTCGGGATCCCCAATGTGTGTGTTTGGCATTGTAGTCACCAGCTGCTATAAAGCGGTCACCTAGTATGTCTAAGAAATGTACAAATTCTGCCTCAGAAACGAGAAGTGCGGTGGGCAGTATACTTCGGCTAGGCTTAAATAACCGCTTTGTAATTCGATATGAATTATTGTGGCCTGTAGATAAGTTGTAGCAACGGAGAGTACCTGATGCGAAGCTTTATCAGGATGCGAAGCTTTATCAGCTGCTTGTATGTGTGTGTGTGTATGTATACTTAGTTGTCCCCAACTGTTTGATATTTGTTTGTTCTGCCTGCTTTTGTAAAATGCATATTTTGCAAATCCTTGAACGCAAAGTTGTAGATTTAGTTACGTAGATTACAGTCCCCAAATTTGAAATCGACCAGGAAAAATTTATAACACAAACTTTTCATTTGAAAAGGTGAATAAATATTAAAACCCCAATAATTCAAGCTCCACCACAATCCGAGTAAGCAGTTTTGTTTGTATTCTTTTATAGATTATAAAAATCAAATTTAAAGTTGATTGGTGGAAAACTGAAGATTTTTCAAACAAACTTTGGAGCTCGTTTTCCCCCCTTTGGAGCTTGAATTTTTCAAAATTCAATTCTTAGTGATCGATTTTACCTCTCTCGGTATTCGAACTCACGTAAAGGGTTTATAATTGCACATTTACATAGCAATTGCGTCTGTCTGAGTGTATGTATACCTATGCGCATCTATTCGTGTCTGTGTAAACATGTGTGCAGTCAACCAAAGCACCAGCATCAACAACAGCCGCGGGCAGCGCTTGAGCAGCAAATATATTATGGCAATTGCTATGTAAATGTGCAATTATAAACCCTTTACGAGAGTTCGAATACCAAGAGTGGTAAAATCGATCAAAATTTTTTTTTTTATTTTCTTAATTTTTTTTATTTTCTATAATTATTTTAAACATATGTACAGAGTATTTCAAAGTCGGGACACCCGACTTTAGCTTTTTTTACTTGTTTATATATATATAGAGATGTCCGTCTGTCCGTCCGTCCGCTTGTTTGTATGAGCGCAACAATCTGAGCAAGTACAATAGCTAGGATAACCAAACTTGGCATTCAGGTTCCCCTAAGCCCCAGGCATATACATCCAGTTCGTGGTTATTTGTCCGTATGCCAAGTGTCATCATAATAGGTCAGCTCTGAAGAAAGTTATAGCTATAAATAAATTGCTGCTTATGCGCTGCCTGCAGCTCTGCCGGCAGCGCTGCTTTGGTTCAACTTTGTGCTGCATATATACACGCATAGGCACGTGATGTAAATGTATACTGTTAAAACTGAACATAAACATGTCTTCTAATTTAATTAATTAATTAATTCAATTTTTTTAAATCATTTAATTTTTTTTTTAATTTTCCTTTTTTGTGGAGAGTACAGGCTATTTTACTGTCGGGCTTGCTCGACTATAGCGTTCTCTCTTGTTTTTTAATAATTTTTTTTTTGTATTTATTTATTTTTTTTTTGTGGAGAGTACAGGCTATTTTACTGTCGGCCTTTTTTTGCGCTTGGGTCGTGCCAAGCATGGTTTAGATTCAGCCCGGCAGACATGAGTTTACCTTTCAAATTTTTAATTCAGCGTTTAACATCTCAAAGAACGAATACGTTCTGCAGACAGTGTGCCTTAACATTTTAATTTTTTTCTATTTTATAATTTCAAGTGTCGCATTTCAGTGAATATTAAGTGTATTGTATATACATTCAAATATAAGTTACGTACATAAAACAATGCCACGCTTTCGTGGACGAGGTGGAACTATTGGTCGACGGACTCGGGATTCACAATTAGTCCAGAACAATCGATTAAATAGATCGGCAGATCAATTGACAATGAAAATTTAAGAAACCAGGACAATGTCTGCCCGGTCCGCTAGTATATATGTATATATATAGATTAAATTCATTCATTTAATTAATTTATTTTTTTTTGTGGAGTGGTACAGGGTATTTAAGAGTTGAGCTCCCACGACTTAAGCATTCCTTTCTGGTTTTTTTTTTTATCAAAAAGAAATTGATGTCACCTGGATTAGGGTCAAGCGCTTTAAGTGACGCTTGACTTGCCTCAATTAACGCAGCGACTTCTGCTTGGTACACACTACAGGGGTCAAAAAGGCGAAAACTTAACCCCAGGTTCAGAAAGTAAATGCCTCCAGCGACCCTCCCATCTATCTTAGAGCCATCTGTGAAAACGTTAACAGGGTTGATTCGAACATGAGGTAGGTATTCCCATTCCATTCGAGAGAGGAATTAAGCTGTTTAATCCTTTTCAAAGGTCACACTCGGTATTCTGTTATCCGTGTGGGTGAAGACCCCGGGGTGGAGACATGCATGACCCCTGGCTGCATCCCTCCAAGCCAAGGTTTCTCTCAGTCTTAATGCCGTGTTGGTCTCCAGCTTCTTCCCGATGATGTCCAAGATCGCTGTACCTTGCTGGACAGCTTGTCTAGCGCTGGCCATCATACTTTTATCCCACAAAGAGCAATCGGCTATCATGTGCCTGATATATCCAGTGCACCACTTGGGGTGAGAACACCCGTTATTCAAATTACTGCAGTTACACAAACTCAATTCCAAGAATTGCGGGAATTCAAAATTTGGTGCCTCTAGCTCTTAGTGTTTTTGATCAAGGTGCTTATACGAAGAGTTATGGAAAATCACTTATAACGGGAGTGGGCTGTTGCATCAGCAGAAAATTAACTCGTATAAAAGTAGAAAAACAAAATGCACATTATAGGTGCCGGCATAATAAAATTATAAATTTTATACCATCAAAATGTCAAACTAAGCTAAGCACAAAACGAAAAATTATAAACGACATACGCAATTATTAAATGTCCTATAAGCTTTTTTTCAGGATCAAAAAAGTAATTTTAAAACGGAACATCCGAGCTGACGTAGCTCTTATATATTAAAGATTTTAATTCTTAAAGAATAAATTAATACCTTTAATATTGTGACCATTTACGTAGTACAATCAATAGAACTCCCAAATAACGTGGTGTTATGACCAATACATAAACATACCATTTATTTAAAATCGTTTATTAACTAAAGATTTTAAATTTACTAAATTTGTGTTAAGAAAAATAAAAACTCAAAAAAAAAAAAAAACGTTTGTGGACAAAACTCACATTCCTACTTCTTAATATACATTATTTTTATATTTTTAAGTTGATTTTCAATTATAATTATATTATACCCTTAAATACGGCTACCAACTAAAACCACTAAGTTCTTAAAGACTTTTTGTGATATTATGAAATAGTCGGCGGCCCCACCAAGTTTCTAAGTCAAAAGGTTTAAAGTCACGTAGCACTGGGCTAGCTGGTTCAACCCAAACGGCAGGTGTGCTTGGTACTGCATTTGCAGTAGATGTCATAACAGCCGATGGTGAGCTGCCAATTCCCCTATTTATGATGCTACAATAAGTCGCATTGTTATTGTTAGCATCGGCTTGTAACTTTTCTTTGCTGTGTTTGTTACTGCAATCGTAGGGATTTTGTGCGACCAAAATATTCCAAGCTAGCGGAAAAGATAAAAGAGGTGAAATAAAAAATATTAAATACCGTAAACATTCTTACAGTCATTTATATAGCGTATGATCTCTTCATGCTGCGGCGTTATCACTTCGTCATCAATAAGTTTAGTAGGGGTGATGCGCTTTGATGCAAAGCTTTGTTGGAACACCGGCCGTGGTATGCTGTCAAAAAAGTATAAAGATGCAAGCATTATCAAACGAAATAAAACAAGAATGGTATGCTGAAGTCGACCGGGCTTAACTCCCCCACACAGTGGAGTCTTGTCTATGTGTTCGCATTTCTGTAGTCTTCAATCAAAGAAGCAACAACAGCTGCTGACAGAGTATGGGCAGGGATTACGTTAAAGGCTTTAACTTCTTTTACATTTGACTTAACACAATGATAATAATAAACCGGATACAAATCTAAGCTTTGAGTATAAAATGCAAAGAATTACGGGAGCTTTGAGAGATCACAAATTGTGGGGGAGTATAGCGGTGCATCAGGAGGAAAATGCAAACTTATCCTAAAAATACATTTAATTTCTTTATTTTTTGGGCAGCTTGTTAAGACTTGAGTTTGCACGACTTCATGGAATTGATTGGTGCAACATAATTTATTTAAGATTACAACATTAAACATAACAGTTCAACTTTATGACGTAACGTATGTAGATGCTTGTAATGTGAAGATTTCAATGAGAGCTACAGTATGCTCAGCGGGCTTGCTGATAACCACGTCTGACCCGCTTGAACATTTGTGTGAAAGTGAACCATAATCAACCAGTTCTCGTATTCCACATATGTACATAACTAATAAATACATATGTATATGTATGTATTTATGTATATAGTATATAAGTCAACGAATAAGGTTTTCCTTATATTGTATTAAACTCACTTATTATGTTCCTTGGGGCTATTTAAATCGAATCCCTTCTTGCCGCTCTCCTTAATTGTTTCGAATTTTTCAAAGTTTTGTGCCAGTCCTGCAAGGGAACAGTGCATATTAAAACTAATAAACTTAATAACCGGCAAAAACATCGACCGGCCCTAGGACCATTGTGACATAACAGCAACACATTTTTGAAAATTTTACCTGGGATTCATTTCGTGCTTTACTGAAAAATAGGACTTACCCCGACGTGTTTTAGCGACGATTTTGCTAGGTCCTTTGTTAACTGTGTACATGGTGATAATTTATCTGAACTTCTCAGCACCAGGCTGGTTTTCCAGATATGTATGTATTTATATTTATTTGTTTTTTTTAGTTTTTGTATTTCTCGTTTTTAAACTATTCCCAATTATTTGAATTTTAAAATCGACGAATGACTTGTTGCCGCTGATCTGATGTTTCATTTCAATTTTTTTTTAGTTACACAATATTATTATAGCCCTTGTATGAAGTTCGAAGTGTCACTGAAGGTGTTCATATAATAGTTACAGTATTCATATGCCTGCTTTCACAACTTGATTTATGCTATACCACTCTGGCCATATCCTGAATCTCGAACGTCTTAGAAAATGAGAATTTAATGTTGGCTACCACCAAAGAACAGTATAGCACTATCAACACACACATGCACGTGCTCCATAACATCTAACTTGCGTTCTATAAACAAATGACTTGCCAGTGTGACCAAATTTAAAATATAATAAATTCTGCATTTATTTTTCATCGATTCGTCCGATTTGTATATGTAAATCCTATGCTGCCACATGCAGTGATTCGAATTAACACTCAGCCTAGTACAATGGTCATGCAAAATGGTTGCGGCAATTCTATGCATTGGAACTATATGAATAGATTATCGACATCAGAGAACTGCAACGAGTACTACATTTTCGGCCATACTCGAGTATTTACCCATACTCGGTATGATTATTTCATTTGGGTATAGTGACAAGCAACGAACGAGCCCTCAACGAAAACTCAGTTCGAATCAAACCTGCAAAAACTCAGAAGTGAGCAGTTGTGACCGAAACTTCTTGCATGAATGCAAGCAATGATTGGTTTTAAACGAACCCTCACCAACCAGTCAGTTCGACTCAAAGCTGCAAAAACTCAGAATGAGCGGCGGTGACCGAAACTTTTTGCCTGTGTGCAAGAAATGATCGAACGTCATATTTAAATCATGCCCACATGCACGTGCACTTGCATTTTATATTGTTTTTTCAGCTATTAGTTCAATAGTAACTTCATATACAAGTATGTATATGCATATAAATTAGAGAATCCAACAAAACTATTAGCGAAAAGCTTTAGCTTTAAAATATTTGAGTTCCTTTTTTAAGAAATAAAATCATGCTAAATATCATCATATAACAAGATAGAACGCTACAGTCGAGCAAGCCCGACAGTAAAATAGCCTGTACTCTCCACAAAAAAAGAAAAATTAAAAAAAAAAAAATTAAAAAAAAATTAAATTATTAAAAAAAATTAATGAATTAATTAATTAAATTAAATTAGAATATATGTTTATGTTTAGTTTTAACAGCATACATTTACATCACGTACCTATGCGTGTTTATATGCGTGTATGTATGCAGCACAAAGTTGAACCAAAGCAGCAACAACAACAACAGCTGCGGGCAGCGCTGCCGACAGAGCTGCAGGCAGCGCATGAGCAGCGATTTTACTTATGGCTATAACTTTCTTCAGAATTGACCTATCATGATGAAATTTGGCACACGGACACATTAGTACTAACTGGATGTACCTACCAAAATTGATTTCAAAATTCCGAGAATTACGGAAGTTATAAGAAAAAACACGAATTGCGGGGGAGTGGGGGGGTGCATCGAAAAAAAACTCAAACTCGTACTTTCTCGGTCCTAGGAGAATATGGAAACCAAGTTTGGTTATTCTAGCTCTTATACTTTCTGAGATCCTTGCGTTCATACGGACAGACGGACAGACGGACAGACAGACGGACAGACGGACGGACGGACAGGGCTATATCGACTCGGCTTCTCATCCTGATCAAGAATATATATACTTTGTGGGGTCTGCCACGCCTCCTTCTGTGTGTTACATACATGCGCACAAAACTATTATAGCCTTTCACCCTTTGGGTACAGGCTATAAAAATGAATATATGTATACATATATTTTCTTTTCATTCTGTACCTCTTTATTTAAAATACGTACATACATATACACATGTTTGCGCATAATTGCAAACAACACATGCACGCACAAATACATAAATATGTACATACATTCATTTTTTATACGGTCATACTCGGGTAAAACCCGCGCAATACTCGAGACATATTCGGGTAAAATCTGCGAAATACTCGAGTAATACCCGAGTATAGCTCGCGCAATACACAAACAATACTCGAGCAATCAAACACTCATTCTGCAAAGTCTGGTTTGTTTCGACCAGGACCCAGTCATCTTAACCGAAGTGACCCAGCCTGAACTGTTTGAAAGCAAACCAATCAAGGTTGGTACCCGTTCGCAACGAACAGAATACTCGAAGTGACCGAGCGTGAACTGTTTGAAAACAAACCAATCAAGACCGGTGCTTGTTCGTAAAAATAGAAAGATTGCTCATGCAAGTTCGATAAAGAAAAATGCTGAGAGAACTCAACTTGTTCGTGCTCGTTTGCAGCCAAGCAAAGATCTGATTTGATGAAATTGTCAGCAAGGGTGGTCGAACATACTCATTGCAGTTCTCTGATCCACATACATATAGCGCGACGAACCTCGATCATCGTCTTTTTCCTTAAGTATATGCTTTTTTAATAGCATATGCACAATATATTCAATACAATACAATATACATATATAAAATAAGAGAAAACGCTAAAGACGAGCAAGCCCGACAAGGAAATACCTTGTACCCACTCCTAAAAAAAAGGAAAAAAATTATTATTAAATTAGTTTAAAAATTAATTAATTAATAATTATATTAAATTAAAAATATTCAGTACATTCATACATAAGTGGAGACATATGTTTATGTACAGTTTAAATACCATACGTTTACATCAGAATCGTTTCTATGCAGTGTGCAGTACAGAATTAATTCAATGCAGCAACAACGACAGCTGCGGGCAGAGCAAAAAGATTACACTTATTGCTATAACTTTCTTCATAATTGATCTATCTTGATGAACTTAACATACGGACATATATTCACTAACTGGAGGTATTTTCCAAATTTGAGTTCAAAATTACAAAATTTGAGTTAGAATTACTTGAATTAAGGAAGGTTACATATAGAAGTAGAGTTGGGGAAGTAGAGGGCTTAGGGGACCTGGATACCAAGTTTGGTTATTGCAGTTCCTGTACTTGTTGAGATCGTTGCGTTCATACAGACAGGACGACATGCCTATATCGAATCGTCTTATCAAGCTGATCAATAATATATGTATATACTTTGTGGGGTGTCCCACGCCTCCTTCTGTGTGTTATAATCATTCCCACATAACTAGTACACCCTCTTTTAGGTAATATAAAATTTTTTGTTTATCACTTTGCAGAAAACCTATTATTGAACTGAAACTTCTATGTAAGGACCTTGAACGCTGAAGCGCCAACCTTTTCGGTGACAAAATCAATGGCACGATAACAGGCGATCATAAGTGAACAGTAAGTAACCAAACTTGTAGAGAATTAAAAGGTGTATGTAAATGAACAGAATTTCAGTTGCAACTCAAAATCAGCTGTGATATGAAGTTGCGTTCATGAACGGTACAATCTGAAATCGGCGGGTTTTCTATTTATTATTCAGCGGGATTTATAGCTTCTTATAGCAGTGCTTCAAGCCATTTTCCAGCGCTTTTTATACTCTGTACAAGAAATGTGCAAGAATATACTTGGTTTGCGGGAGCTGAAAAATGTAACAGACAGAAGGAGGTGTGGCAGACCCCACAAAGTATATATATTCTTGATCGATCTAGCCCTGTTTGTCAGTCTGTCCGTCTGTCCATCCGTATGCACTCCTGGATCTCAGAGACTATAAGAGATAGAGGCACCAAATTTTGCACAAAGATGCCATATGTATGTACGCTATACGAGTTTGTTTTATTTTTTTGATTCTTGGAATTTCGAACTCAAATTTTACTTATTATGTTAGCTATTATGTTAGTTAGTTATTATGTTAGTTAGTTATTATGTTAGTTAGTTATTATGTGTCCGTATGCCAAGGTTCACTATGATAGACCGATTTAAGAAGAAGTTAGAGCCATAAATATATTTGCTGCTCAAGCTCTGCTCAATCGCTGCCCGCAGCTGTTGTTGATGCTTGGCTGACTGCAAACATGTTTACACAGACACGAATAGATGCGCATAGGCATTCATACACTCACATAGACGCCATTGCTTTATATATGTGCAATTATACACCCTTTACGTGAGTTCGAATACCAAGAAAGGTGAAATAGATTCAAATTTTTCTTTTATTTTCTTAATTTTTTTCATCTTCTATAATTATTGTAAACATATGTACAGAGTATTTCAAAGTCGAGACACCCGACATTAGCTTTTTTACTTGTTAAATATAATTTTAGTGACTTTTCTAGACATTTTCTGGGTTCTACTAGAACTAGCTACTTATAATTGTTTTTCTAGCGGTTTTTAAAGCAATTTTTTAGAGGGGTTTCTAGCTCGATAACCGAAATACTTGTAATACAATCATTTTCTAACCAATATATTGAAGCCAAAAATACATAAGCAGATAACCATTGATGAATAATTCTAGATATTTATTCCTTGAAAAATTCCAAGAAGAACGGGAGGTTTGGAAAATCACTAATTGCCGGGGAGTGTGGAGAGAGGTATATTCTGGAACTGACATATAAGAATGGCATCTTTGTGTAAATTTTTATACCCTGTACCCAAAGGGTACAGGGGTATATTAGTTTTGTGCGAGTGCACATGGAACACACAGAAGGAGGCTTGGTAGACCCCACAAAGTATATATATTCTTGATCAGCATGACAAGCCGAGTCGATATAGCCATGTCCGTCTGTCTGTCTGTCCGTCTGTCTGTCCGTCTGTCTGTCTGTATGAACGCAAGGATCTCCGAAAGTATAAGAGCTAGAATAACCAAACTTGGTATACAGATTCTCCTGAGCCCGAGAAAGGACGAGTTTGTTCATTTTTCCCGATGCACCCCCCCACTCCCCCCCTATTAACGATTTTCTATAACTCCCGTAATTCTTGGAATTTTGAAATAACATTTGATAGACACATCCAGTGAGTGATTATATATATACCAAGTTTCATTATGAAAGAATGATCGAAAAAAAAGTTATAGCCATTTAACCAGGCCCAATGCACACATACATACATATGTACAAGTACACAAACACGCATAAGGCACAATTCTGATGTAAATGTATGTAATTTAGTTAATTAATTAAATTAATTTAGTTAATTAACTTAATTTAATTCATTAATTAATTTAATTACTTTTTTGTGGTGTGGTACAGGGTATTTAAGAGTTGAGCCTGCTCGACTTTAGCATTCCTTTCTTGTTAAGAATACTTTGTGCGGTATGCCACGCCTCCTTCTGCCTGTTACATTTTTCGGCTCCCGCAAATATGTATATACTTTTCTACATTTCATGTACAGAGTATTGAATACTCA